TGGACAATACTGTCACGATAGTTTTCACTTCCCGATAGTTTTCACTATTGTACTCAATTATGATTTTATACAATAGTTATGATTTTATTTAGGGTCGCCGCTGGCATATTTATGGCGTCTTTATGCAAAGGAGATTTTGCCGTTCTTGTTAATATTTTTATTTATCAATCTTTTAAATAAGATATGTTTTTAAATAATTTCTAAAAATATATTTAAGCAAAACGCTGCAATTTAATCATGTTATCTCTTTTTTAGAACAAAAATGAGAAGAATGAGAATTTATATTAGGAATTGAAATTTTTCATTTTTCACATTTCTGTTTTAAAGAAATAATCACTATCTTGATACCAAAATAGTTTTGCATGTACATGGTCCTGCATATATTGAAAAATTTTGGCAAATAAATGATTATATTTGTCCAACCAATAGTTTTAATTTTTGTAATTAGATTTTTTGATTTTTTAAGATTAATATACAGTATAGTATGTTTCGAAAGAAATTAAATCTGGCAGAAGCATGCACACGTAATTGGTGTTACGAATGTTTAGAATCGATTTTTAACTCTTCTTTTACAATTTGAGTTTTTTTTATATAAGTAAAATTTCACTCTCAGAGTTTTCTTAAATAAAGGAGATGTTTCTTCTTCTAAAAAATATCTTGTTAATAGGGATCTTATTAGAGTAAAGATGTCGAAAAGTAACCCTGAAAATTTTCACGTTTTCTTTTGAAAGGCTAATATAGAATAGTAAAAGGCTGGATTAAAAATCCAGATTGCAGATGAAAAGAATAAAAATATGATTACAGATGGAAGATTAAAATTTAATTTAGCGCTCTTCTTGTTAATGCGCCTTTGTGCAATACACAACTTGCACACCTGCTTGCGGCGACCCTGATTTTACTTTTAGCTTTTTGGTTGGACGCACTAAGTGCGCACTGGTGCATATTAAAGCTGTTGTATACTGATTTAATCTGAGTGTAAAAGAATAAAAGGCAAATATTTTAAATTATAAAAAAAAAATATATACTTTGACAGTAAAATATATTGAGAATTTCATGATTTAACCCGTTTCTTATATTCTATTAAACAAACATTTGTGTGTCAATTTGTGTGCACGATAGTTTTAATATGCAATACGCACTGAATACGTCTATCAAATTCATTATTTAATAAACACACACACACACACACACACACACACACACACACACACACACGCACTCTCTCTCTCTCTCTCTCTCTCTCTCTCTCGATATATATATAAAATTACGAATTCTCTCTCTCTCTCTCTCTCTCTCTCTCTCTCTCAAGAGAGAGAATTTGTAATTTTAAAAAATATTTAATTGTATCTATTATATTATACACCTGTATATATAGCGAGATATATTTATGGGTAGCTTTCATATTTAACTTGAAGAAAAATGATATTGTTTATTTCAGAGATTCTCCAGTTTAAGAGCGAACACGATGCTAACAAACAAATGTTTCATGAGCACGATGAAATGGACGTCCAAGAGAAGCCAGAGCCTATCATGATAAATCGAAACCAATATAATACGGGTGATGAACCCGATAATTTCAGCTTTGCTGTTAGAAACGATGATATTAATCCTATAGTAAAAGACGAAAGTTTTAGATTCAGGTATTACATGAATTTATGTATTGCAATATTTATGTACTTTACTATATACGCTTCGTATGTGATATACAAGAATATTTAATAAAACATCTAATATTTTTAACAACTTTTCTTTTTCGTTGCATATTTTTCAAGTATTTTGTGTAGTGTGTGTGTGTGTGTGTGTGTGTGTGTGTGTGTGTGTGTGTGTGTGTGTGTGTGCATGCGCGCGCGCGCGCGTGTGTGTATGTGCGTGTGTGTGTGTGTGTGTGTGAGGAACGTAAGTATTGAAATGAATTCTAAACAGAAAAAAAAGATGTTATATATATGGTATGACAAAAATCTCAAAAATATGCTATGCGTGATAATAAATGATACCATCTTTTGATATCTGTTCTCTCTATATATTTGAAGATAAAAATGACATATATTATCGCCCGGAAATATTTAATGCTATTGTATTTATTTGCAATTTATAAATAGTTTAATATACATGCATTAATACAAAGTATAAAAAATGATATTAACTGATAGTCGTGTCTATTATTGTGTCTATCAGATTGGAATCCTCGACCCAAGTTTCGAAGAAAAGGCACTCTGGACGACAAGCTCATCGACAGCTCTCCAGGAGGACTTGGATATCGAAATCAATGAAAGCCAGACAATCGAATGACGACGTGCCACTCGAATTTTCAACCACTACAACTTTAACTCTCGGGGATAATAAATATGTAGGCCACATACATACAGATGGCGTCAAAGAAATATCCTCGTTATCTGAAACGAGTACGCAAAATGTATCATCAAATCGACGACGTCGTCATCATCGCAAAAAGTAAAAAGATCAAATTTAATCATATACAGATATTTGATTGTTATTTAATACATTAACATATTTATTCAGTCATTCGGTACAATGTGATGTATCGTTTACTTTCTATTTTACTTTGATTCGGTATTTGTTCTGTTTTTTTCCTACATTGCTAGCGTATATTTTATATATATATATATATATATATATATGCAGTATAGTAAATCTTAATGTGTAATTGATAACATAAATTGATAATGTTGGTTAGATAATATAAGTTGATAATGCTAGTTACATAAAAGACACTGCAGGTTATAGTATCTTTCATTGACATATATATATATATATATATACAATTACATGCAGTACCCATAATACGCGTTTTTGGATATAATGAAAATAATTGACTCATTTATTTACTGTGGATGCTCAATTAAATTGTGTAAATTTCAAAGACAAAATTTGCAACTTGGCATGGTTTTATTATTCTTTCACTTGGCTACTGGTAACCGCATCAATTTCTAAGTATCGCTAACGGTATTTCCGCTAACGGGAGCTATCTCGCAATGCCAATAACAATGGACGTTGTCGTAAAGCTGGAAAATGGAGTCCGTTACTACCTGTCCCGGCATTTTCAGCCTTCGAACTGCCAATAACTTGTCAGCATTGGCAACGACGAGTTTCGAGCACCACGTATATTTCGTATGTCTGTGACCAGCTCACCCATCATTATATGTGTACAACATATATATTCTTACACGAAAATCTCTCTCTCTCTCTCTCTCTCTCTCTCTCTCTCTCTCTCTCTCTCTTTCTTTCTCTCTCTCTGTCAAATAAACGTCAAAAAAGCTTCCTCTTTTTTAATCATTATTATCTTTCATCCGGGATGTATCGAATCATTTTGACAATTTTTTAGACTACATCAGCAGTCATAATCTCAATTTATCAATGATATAGAACTGGCGATCAGATAAGAGATGCATATAGATAAATAAACCGAATATATGTATATATAAACATGCTGAATCCGTCAAGAATATACAATAATACAATTTGATGGAAATTTTGGATAGGCGGATCGATAAAGCGCCGTTATTTCATCTAGTTTATGAAGTTTGAAAAAATCTGTTGTACAATATATATATATATTTAAAAAAAAACGTCACTCATTCTTTCTAAAGTTTCCATTGATCCTCGTTTTTAATATTCGCTACATTCGCGGATCCAGAAAAACTTTTCCCCAGAATTCTCTAGAGTTTCGTTGGGAATACTATATAAGATCATGTTTCATTGCAGTGTCGGATGTATAAAACGTAAACATGCGCTTTCGTAAGCCTGTTTCAAAGCTCGATCTACGTCCGGTGCGCTCCCTAATCTCTACGTATATATCGCGACCCTTTTGAGTTTTCACCCCCTATAGGATTAACACACTGATATGCACACGTGCATAGAG